TAAAATTTTTACTTATTTTAGTAAAATGTTTTTCAAACTGAATTATGTTTCTTAAAGACTGTTTTAATTACTACTTGTTTACTTTTGTTGAAAATCACTCCACTTTTCTTAAATCAGAATAAGTTCTGGTTCCTCCATAATATTATTCTGACTTTTCATACTGATTTTTTTTCCTTCTAATTTTTATTTTGAAAATTTTCAAAAATATAAAGGCTTAAAGATGGTTCAATGCACAGTATTATCTTTCTACCAAGATCAATAATTATTAATATTTTGCTACATTACTATATCTGTTAATCCATCTACCTTTTCTTGCCTTTGAACCATTTGAAAAGATGCAAACAACATACTATTCTACTCCTAAATACATCCGTCCATGTTGTTCTTTTAAAAGTGGAAGGGTCAACTATTCAGAGAAGCAGTGATACCAGAGATGGAGGCAGAGATGGGGACATGGAGAGAGGGAGCAGCTGAGGACTCTAGATTCATGGAAAGAGAGGGACTGAGAGCTGGCAGCCAAGAGGCAGGCTTGCAGAATGTGCCCTTTGGTGGTTTAAATGATTATATATGCCTGAATGTTTAAAAAAGAGCAAAAATGAATAAGAGAGAAATACTGTTAACTGATGGTACATGGAGGGGATTATAATCATTGTAGTGAAACAAGGTGTATGATTTGTTTATTGTAAAACTGATGATCTGCCTTGTAAACGTTCACTCAAGTCACAGTAAAAACTTAAAAAAGAAAAAAAGTGGAAGGGTCAAACTAACACATTGCAAAAACATATTTTTACTTTCACTATAATTTAGAATAAAAGTTCAAAGTTTGTGTTCTTTTTTTGCCATTCAAAGCAAAATACTGTGAAATAAATATTTGAAAAATGAGTATAGAACATGAGAAAACGTTATGAATGTCTAATTTATTTAAGCTTTTAAAAAATGGTAATAAGAAGATACTATTTGTAGTGAGTACGAGGGGGCTTCTAAACATTTGTGGAGAAATGGAATTGAAAGATAACGTAAGTTTTCCACAGACTTTTGGGAGCTGCCATGTATATTATATGCCTCATGAGCCCCACACTAAATATATCTCCTCCTTTATTCTTCAAACAATCCTGCAAGGTAGGTATTTTTGTTATTCCCATTTTGAAGATTAGGAAACTAAATTCAGATAGGTTCATATAGCTGAAATTTGAACCAGCAAGTGTCTGAATCCAGACTCCTTCTTGTTTTCACTGTATCATATAAAGCAAATATCAGTAGTCTCCATCAACCATCATTCATTTCCTAGGGGGAAAATAGTAGGGAGCTTCAAAGAGTTCAGGGTGGAATTCCATTATCTTCTCATTCAATTTTCCACAAATTTTTAAAAGCCCCCTGATGTAAGCCCCAAATGCTAAAATGGGCTCCTTTTCATGTATCTTTTTCCTGTTACCACCTATTTCCCAAAATTAACCGTGTGCCATTAAACCATCTTACTAGAAATGAAAACATACTAGGGGAATGGGAAAAGGAACAAAGCACTGACATGTCAAATGTGACAATATATTTAATGATTTTATTTGTGACAGTGTTGATAATTCAAATAAAGAAAATGTGAAGATATATTTTCCCCTGATGATTAACAAGTTTGAATATTAGTAACCCATGATAGCTGATAAACCTAAAATCACTCATTAATATCAATGACTTGCTCTGTATGAAATAAAAGAGAGTAATATAAAAAAAAGTAACTATTGAGCAAGTGTTGTGGTTGTTAAGTGCCGCTGAGTCAGTTCCAACTCACAGCGACCCTGTATGGGTTTTCCAAGGAATGGCTGGTGAGCTTGAGCTGCCTACCTTGTCATTCAAACCAACCTTGTAATCCAGCGCATTAACCCACAGCGCCACACCAGGACTCCAGTGAGCCAGCAGGGTTCTTTAAATAAGTACAAATTAACTTCGCAATCAAATTCCACAATAGATTAAATGTCTGTGACAGAATAGGTTCTTCATGGAGTTTAGATGAACAGGGGAAGGACAATGTACTCAGATGTTCATAGACCCTTGTCTTCATTCAGATGTATGCACGCATTTACACATAAGCATAGGCATGAGTGAGCAAAGATACCCCCTACCTTCTCCCTACCTCTGGAATCCCCTTGTGCAATACCAGGTTAGAACTGCTCCATCCACACCCGAAGCCTGATTCCCAGACTGGAGAGCCCAGGCCCATGCCACTGGCACCCTACACTTCCTGTATCCCCTTTCCCCCTCCAGCATACATTCTGCCTAGATTTCCTTAAGTACCTTGGGAATACAGGGAATCCCATGACATCTGGAGGTCTGCAGATTCCATCACCTTCATGCCAAGTCATGGAGAAAGAGCAGAAATGGAAAACGTTGAGTGATTTAGAGCAGGTTGAGGTTTTCTGGTTACATAGAGGATAAGAACTGGAAAGGTCTATAGTCAGCCCCCTACCCTCTCCAGAATACCTGCAGGACAGAGGTCTTGACCAACTGGAGGCCCCCAGTTAGAGTCTGGATCATCTTTTCAATGGCGGGCACATGAGAAAGTTGATCACACTCATCAATGACCAGCTGTGCTGTTAGAAAGGGTTTCTGCCTTGGGGCCTGTGAAAGAGAAGGCAGGAGAGATTGTGGGGCAACCACCCATCCAGGCTGTGATTGCAGGACCAGCACTACACGCGCCACCCACCACCTCACTTGAAGGATGTTGGCCACAAAAGAGGTTATCTTTTCCTCCACGATGGACACAAGGCTCTGACAAATCATGTAGTTTATTAGGCGTGCAAGTTGTCCCAGATGCAGCAGCCAAGCCTCTGCCTGCTTCAGTCTCTGCTCCAGCTCCTGGCACTGTACATTCTGGAGGTATATGGAGCCCTGGTTTATCCTCTTGCAACTTTGCACTTGCTCCTGCAGGCCTTGCTGCATGTGGTAAGTGTCCTCATGAACCTGCCAACATAGAGTGGAAAACTCACGAGGCGTAGGGGTGGAAAGCAAACTGACAACCTACTGGTGTTAGTAAACTCTCAGGTCTTGGAGTCTGGAACCTAGAATCTATATGTGCATGTGGAACATGACTCTTTAGTATAGATTAGCCTTAGAAACCTCAGAATGACCAGAGACGATGGGGTGGAGAATATATGAGGGTGAATAAAAAATTATCTGTACTGTAGAATTTATTTGAATTAACTTTTAGAAAAGACAAATACATCATTAATTTTCTTGCTTTCCAGTAACTTTGTCCATCTGTGATATTCCCTTATAAAAAAATGTTTTAGGCTGAGATGCAAGCCATGAATACACCTCTGTCTTCACTTCTTCATCAGAGGTGAATCTTCATCCTCAAAGGGCTGCTTTCAGGGGACCAAACGGGCAAAAGTCGGATGAAGCAAGATCAGGACTATAGGGAGGATGCTTTAGCACCTCAAAAGGAAATTTTTGCAGTGTCAACAGTGTGGGCAGAGATGTGTGGACATGCATTGTTATGCAAGATCACAAAGCCTTAGGATAGCAGTCCTCTATGTTTAACCCAAAGTTTAGCCTTCAACTCTCTAATGAGCATCTCCTTATAACAAGCACTGTTGATTGTTGAACAATTTTTCCTAATAGTCTTCCAATACTGGCCCTTGAGAATCCCAGAAAACTGTAAGCAACAATTTTCCAACTGAAGGTTAACTTTTGAACTTTTTCTGGGTCAGCGATTGAGGATGTTTCCATACCATACTCTACCATTTACTCTCAGTTTCTTGGTGATTAATTCATGTCTTATCACCAGTAATCATTTTTTTTAAAGTTACTTTTGCCTTCCTTTGAGTATCAGTCCAAATTTTGTTTGCAGATGTCTAAAAGCTTCTATTTGTGCTCTTCCATGAGTCGTTTTGGTTGTTGTGTTGTTAGGTACCATTGAGTTGTTTCTGACTCACAGCAGCCCAATGCATAACAGAACAAAACAGTGCCCAGTCCTGCACCATCCTTACAATTGTTATTATGTCTTAGCCCTTTGTTGCTTCCACTGTATCAATCCATCTCCTTAAGAGTTTTCGTCTATTTCACTGACACTGTCCCCTCCCCGTTCCCCCCCCACACACACACACACTTGCTGGGGTATTTCTTCCATTACAGATTTGTTTGTTTTTCTGGTAGTTCATGGTACGTTCAATTTTCTTCACCAAAACCATAATTCAAATGCATCAATTCTTCTATGGTCTTCCTTATTCATTGTCCAATTTTCATACGCATGTGAGGCTATTGAAAATACCATGGCTTAGGTCAGGTACATCTTCGTCCTCAAACTGACGTCTTTACTCTTTAACACTTTCAAGAGGTCTTTTGCAGCAGATTTCCCAATGCAATAAGTCATTTAATTTATTGACTGCTGTCTCCATGAGAGTTGACTGCAGTTTCAAGCAAAATGAAGTCATTGACAGCTTCAATCTTTTCCCCGTTTATCCTGATGTTATTTATTGGTCCACTTGTGAGGGTTTTTGATTTCTTTACATTGAGGTGCAATTCATACTGAAGGCTGTAGCCTTTGATTTTAATCAGCAAGTATTTTAAGTCCTCTTCACTCCTGCAAGCAAGGTTGTGTCATCTGCACATTGTAAGTTGTTAAGGAGTCTTCTACCAATCCTGATACCACATTCTTCTTCATATAATCCAGTTTACTGGATTATTTGCTCAACATATAGATTGAATAAATATGGTGAAAGGATACAACCCTGGCACATACCTTTTTTGATTTTAAAGCATTCAGTATCCCCTTGTTCTGTTCTAATGACTACCTCTTGGTCTAGGTACAGATTTCTCATGAGCACAGTCAAGTGTTCTAGAATATCTGTTCTTCACAATGTTATCTATAGTTTATGATCCACACCACTGAAAGCCTTTTCATAGTCAGTAAAGCACAATCAAACAACTTTCTGGTATTCTCTGCTTTTTGCCAGTATCCATCTGATAACTATGATATCCCTACCTCCATGTCATCTTCTGAATCTGGCTGGAATTTTCTGGAAGCTCCCTGTCACTGCAACCATTTAAAAAAATTATCTTCATTAAATTTTACTGGAGTTTGATATTATTAATATTGTTCAATGATTTTTGCATTCTGTTGAGTTAACTTTGTTAGGAACAGGCACAAATATGGATCTCTTCCAATTGGTTTGTCAGGTAAGCTGTCTTCCAAATTTCTTACCATAGACAAGTGAGGGCGTACAGTGCTGCATCAGTTTGTTGAAATATCTCAATTTGTAGTCCCTCAATTCCTGAAGTCTTGTTTTTCTTCAGTGCCTTCATTGTGCAGCTTGGACTTCCTCCTTCAATACCTTCAATTCTTGGTCACTTGCTACCAAAGGTGTGGCATTGTAGGATAAGTACTGGAATGCTAACCACAAGGTTGGCAGTTCAAACCACCAGTTGATTTTGGAAAGCCCAAACAGAGTGACTGTGAGTCAGAACCGACTCAATGACAAACAATAGCAGCATTTATGTAATCTGAGAAATTTTACATTTAAGCAACTTACAATATGTATCACATGTTATTTATTGGACGATAAAAACTGATAATAAGCATTACTAAGGATTCTGTGCAGTCTGGTATGGGTAGGGGCAGACATCAACCCTAATGATGCCAGTGGTTAAAAACAATACTTTTCATATTTGACAGCCTCCATGGGTCAAGTAAAGGAGCTCTAGTGGTTCTGTAGGATAAGCACTGGACTGCTAACCTCAAGGTCAACAGTTAAACCCATCAGCTGCTCTGCAGGAGTGAGTTTGGTGTTGTTTTTTGTATGGGTCAAGGCAGATGGTTTGGACAGCACTTAACAACAACAACAAGCATTTATCTAAGGAGTCCTGGTGTGGCACTAGAGGATAAGCACTTGATTGCTAACCACAAGGTCAGCAGTTCAAATCCACCATCAACTCATCGGTAATTGTATACAGGGCTGCTAAGAGTCAGAACTGACTCCAAAGTACTTAACAACAACAAAGATTATCTGGAGTCCTGGTGTGGCGCTGTAGGATAAAGCACAGGACCGCAAGGTCAGTTTGAATCACAAGATCACCGATTCAAACCCACCAGCAGCTCCTCAGAAACCCTATTCAGGGTTGCTATGAGTCGGAACTGACTCGATGATACCTAACCAAAAAAAAAAAAAACCCCACAAGCTGGACCGCGAGCAGTTTACCGCTGCCGCGGCGCGAGGTTTCTGTAAACTCAGGGGATGGCGGAGGGAGACAGAAATGAAGACTTTTCCAGATGAAAAGCCCTTCAGACTCCCCTGTGACTTTACCCTGCACTCCATTGGCCTGCGAGATGCCACCATCTCCCCACACAAATAGCTCAAGAAAACAAACCTATGAGTGCAACGCTTCAAGAACGACTAAGGCAAACAAGAGCATCATTTCCTTCCTGTTACACTGTAGTAAAACGACTTAAAGTAGAGGGTGAAGAAAGTGATCCAATTGTTGCCGAGAAACCATTGTCTTCAACAGAAGAAAACTGTTTGGAATATCAAGAAAATTTTAAACATGTAGACAGTGAATCTGAAAAAAGTGCATGTTTGAAAAGTACCTTCAAGAATATCATTGCAAAAAAAAAAAAAAAAGAATATCCGTGCTAAATCAGATTGTGCTCTCCAAAATAATTTTGTCAGCGAGAATCTTCCCAAACAAGGATTACAGGGAGAAAAAGCAAATTTGGTGAAGCAGATTCAAGGGAAAGAAGACTTTCTTTGGAGGTTAAAACTAGTCAAAATGTATAGATCAAAGAATGACCTGTCTCAGATACGGTTGCTAATACAGAAGTGGAGGAAGTGCAGCCAGCTGTTACGTTATGAGTTGTAGTCAGCTTTGTTTGAGGAGAATAAGAAATGATGTTTGATAGACCACTATGGGTTAGATGATAAATTGCTCCACTATAATACAACTGAAGAAGAATTTATAGATGTTTAACTATAATTATTATTATTATTTTTAGAATTATCTCTAAGAGTGACAACTTAATTTTTTTTAAATGTTTATATGTTTTAAAGGGAAGGTATAATTAGGGGTTAAAGGAAGTTTTCCTGGTGAACATTAGTGCAGGGCACTCTTATGTAACCCCTCATGGTTACATAAATCTACACTAAATCCTAAAGTAGAAAGTTAATATTTTGTATAAACTTGTCAAAGAAAACTTAACATGTAAAGAAATTAAAAAAAAATAATTTGGGCAATTTCTGGAGACCACTTTAGTAAATTGTTTATTATAGCAAAAACAAAACATAAAAACACCACAAACGCTTGCGCTTATCTGCACACAGCCTTATGTTTGTGAAGGAGCAGTAGTCAGGTGGGCAGAGAAACTTATTTCTTGTTATCTAGCCCGGGTCTATGTGTGGACATTAATTTTAGTGTGGTTATCTCCAATGAGTCAAAGAAACTTGGAAAAACAGCTCCAAGAAGGGCAGCCCAACTGTGTTTAGCATCCCTCTCCCCACCCTTTAGACTCCCCTTTGAGGTGGTCTCCACTGTGACTCAGGCTCCCTAGGTTTTCAAGAGCTCCTCTGTGGCCTGACTGGCCATTCCGCTTCCTCTTTGCACTTTGACCCACCTCACTATGTCTGACTTACAACATTCTGTACTTTCTGCAGTTGGGAGACCAGGAGAAGACTACCAGCTTGGCAGGGTGGTGGAAGCCAGTATGACCAAGTCCAAGGTGTGACCCTGGGGTAAGGCAGAGGGGTCAGGAATTAGTTTGGGCTTAAGATTCCCTCACTGTGGTAGACTCTGGCACTGCCTTTAGCTGGAAGATCTAGAAGTTCTTTGCTGAGTGAAGAAAGAATAAACTGAAGGGAAAAAATGACTTGGAACAAATCATAAACCTAATTTGTGGTACTGTAGGATAAAGCACTGGACTGCAAAGTTAGTTTGAACAAGATCAGCAATTCAAACCCACCAGCAATGCTGCTATTGTTGCAAAGTATCGTTGAAAGTTATAATTTCCATGTTGTGCCATATGGGTTAGGTAAAAGATTAACGAGTTTGAGCTGATGTTACAGTGAAATTACCTAACAGATGGGTGTCAGATGCTTTGACGGGGGCACTTCTTGTTTGTCATACGTGCTATTTTCCATAGATATGAATCTTGCCAAGGACAAGAGTCAAGTACATTACAGGGCCTCTCAGAGATCTAGGCAGGGAGCATGTGCCACATGTGCAAAGTAGGCATAAAGTAGGAAAGACCCCAGTACTACATGCTTCTCCCAGGTACCGTGACCCTTTGAAAACCCAGGACAAAAACTGCAGGAGTTCCAGTGACTAAATATTAGAAACGACACTTTGTTTTTTACTCTAGCCAAAGGCTCAAAAAATGGAGTCCTGTAGGATAAACACTAGACTGCTAATTCACAATGAACTGGAGTCTCTGGTTCAAACCCACCAGTTGCTCTTCAGAAACTCAATACACTGTTATGAGTAAGAACCAACTAGACAGCATTTAACAACGTCACCTAAAGGCTCAAAACAGGTTCTAGAAAAACACCAACAGCATTAAAGACCAGGATTTCCTCTCCCAAATCCCTAATTACCCTGGCACAAACAACTGACGAAACAAATGTTACTCTATTCCTTCTCCTCCCTGTTGCTAGACCATGATCAAACCTGAGGGATGATGGAGTTCAAACCTCTCCCCACCTGTTAGTGGCCCATCCAGCAAAGACCACTGCTACTAGGCAGGGCAGTGGTTCTGAGCCACGGGCAGATTCCGCTCCATACAAGAGATCCCAAGAGAAGCTGGGAGATCTGGAATTAGACTAAGAGGAGGTGCTGGAGTCTCTCAATGAGAAGATTCACATTGAGCTGGAGTCTCTTACCAATTTAAGAATGGCTGTGCAGAGGCGTAGGCAGCGGCGGAGCAGACGTAGAGCCTTCTGGTTCTCCTTGGTTAGAGCCTTTTGCAGCTCCAGTAGATCGTAGCTCTGATCTGGTTCCTGAGGGAGCCAGGATACAGAGTGCAGTTCCTGCAGAAGCCTAAAATCAAGGGCTCAGCTAGTCAGAACCAGAGACACAGCTCTCCTCCCTTGGACACCTTGTAAAGACTGTAATATTCTCAGGGACCCACAGTGACAGATTGCCTTTTGTGACTTGGAAGAATTCAAGCTCAGGAAATCACTGGCTGGGGAATTCTTTGGAGAAGGTTTGGGATATGTGCAAATAATTACTCCAAATGACCTTTAGGCCAGAAAAGATTATATAGGTGTTAAAGTACTGGCTTGGACGGAGAGATTCCAAAGGCTTCTCCCTTGAAATTGAGGACGCCAAATGCCCTAAACATCTACAAGGGCAGGTGAGTTTGAGGATCAAAGCTTGCAATTGTCCTATGGGTTGGCCATCACCATTTCCTCCCAGAGAACTCCACATCTCTAAACATGTGTGTGTGTGCGGGGTGGGTTGTAGAGAGGATAATCATAAAGGTGCAATTTATTCAGTATCCACTAAGAGGCACTGAAGATTTTGCCTTATAGTCACGATCTTAATGAATGCTACAGCTATGTAGAAATCTTTCTCTCTAGTTTGTTGTTGTTAAGTGCCGTTGAGTCGGTTCCGACCCATAGCGACCCTGTACAGGGTTTTGAGGGTGTAAATCTTTACGGGAGTAGAAAGCCTCATCTTTCCGGCTGGTAGTTTCGAACCGCTTACCTTAAGGTTCGCAGCCCGATTCGTAACCACTACGCTACCAGAGCTCCTCTCTAGTTTACAGGCCAGGAAATTGAGGATCAAAGACTGAAGTCCTTTCCTACTATTCAGGATGTAAATTTAGTTCAGTCCAGTCTCCAAGCCCTGTGCTTTTAATTATGCCATGCTGATTAGGTTAGACTAGAGGATGGGAACAGATTTGAGGTGGTAAATTGGTAGACCATGGGCCAAATTCAGACCAAAAAATTTTCCATGTGTACTACAGTTTGTTGTTGTTGTTGTTATGTGCTGTGTAGTCGGTTCTGACTCATAGCGACCCTGTACAGGGTTTCCAAGGCTGTAAATCTTTACGGGAGCAGAAAGCCTTATCTTTTGCCTGCAGAACAGCTGGTAGTTTCGAACTGCTGACCTTGCTGTTTGCAGCACAATTCGTAACCACTACGCTACAAAGAGTTTACCAGCACAGTATACTAATAAAAATTTGAGCCAGCCAGTTAAAATCAAGAAATTTCCCAATAAAATGTGGATTTCTAGGAAATCCTGAAAAATAAGGTGGGTGACCACACTGGGCAATATCCAGATTACAATCTCTACCCTCCTAATGTCTTGCAGTTAACCCATTGCACTTGTCATTACCTCCTGCTTGGGCCCTGTAGACATTTGAGTTTGCAACTCCTGTCAGAGAAGATAATGAAAACAGCTGAGGAGGGGTGTAGGGAAAGCAAAGAAATGCTGAAAACCGGAATGATTTTTTTTCCCAAAGAAAGTATCCAAGCAATACAGTGGAAAGAGCAGAGTTTGATACCAAAGATCTGAGTTAGGGCCCCATATCTTTTTGTACTGAATAACTGTGTGATGTGGGATGAGTAGATATAGAAGAGTATGCAACAGTATGGAGCATTGCTCAGTATTTATTATTCAGAAAAAAATAACTAGTAAACATAATTGCAATGATCACAACTGTAAAGGTAGAAGTTTTGTAACATAAAGTGGGAAGTAGTTAATCTTAGGAGTCCTGGTATGGTGCTGTGGGTTAATGCGCTAGACTGCAAGGTTGGTGGTTCAAGCTCACCAGCTGCTCTTCAAAAACCCTTTACAGGGTCGCTATGGGTCGGAACCAACTCAACAGCACTCAACAACAACAGTTAATATTACATTCCAGGAACAGAGGACCCTAGGACCATCAAGGGATAAGAGCATGAGTGGAATATGGGACCTTAACCAGAGAAGCTGTGTCACCAGAGATGGAGGCAGAGATGATGCTATGGAGAGAGGGAGCATCTGAGGACTCTAGACTAATGAAAAGAGAAAGGCTGTGTGCTGGCAGCCAGGAGGCTGGCTTAACCAGAGGGAGTAGAAGCAAATACTGTTAAATGATAATGCCTGGAGGGGATTGTAATCATTGCAATGAAATGAAATATGATAGGATGAGTGTAAAACTGATGTTCTCCCATGTAAACAAACTATCACTCAATTAACAATAAAACTTTTTTATAAAGGACTAGTAAACAATAAGTAAAGTATGATTCCATTTTGTATATGTGTAAGAAAAAAAGACTAGAAAAAATATACAGAAAAAGTGTTCACAGTGGCTATTTATGGGTGGTATGAATCAAGAGTTGCTTTCTTTGAGCTACTTTTTCTATTTTCCAAGTTTTCTACAACAAACACTAGACCTTTTATAATAATAATTTTTAAAATGCCATTCATTGAAGTTGTATTTTTAAGAACTTACCTGCTAATATGGAGCAGTCCAGCTCCGAAGTGGGGCACAGCCAAGAGCAGATGACTCCCTAGGAACATCCGACATTGATGCACCACCTGCAACTTCACGCACTTCTTCCAGCTGTGGAGACAGGCCAGTCACGAGGACACGCTGTTGCTCTCATTCACATTCCCCCAAATTCCACACCCATCACATCACCTACCAGTTCAATGCCTTGCGTACGAGGCAATTCTTAAAGAATGGAATGAACTGAAGCTGTTGCCAGAGAACAGAGTGGCGATGCCAGGTACCCAGCGTCATTGTGTCACTGCCCTCCACAGGATGGATATGCAGGATCCCAAAAGGCGAGAAGATGTAGTGCTCAGGATTCACTTTGTTTGGTGGCACCACCATCAAGCTATAAGGCCTATGAAAAAGAGTCTGATCAGTGGAAGCAGACACCAGGAAGGGACGAGAGAAGGCTGGGTGATGGCAAAGGAGGCAGGAGGACAGAAGAAAGTAGGAAGTGAGGAAAAGAAACAAAATGATCCTCAAACTAGGAAGGTTGAATCGATGTTAAGAAACAACTTGTTGCTGTTGTTATTAAGTGCCATCGAGTCAGTTCTGATTCATACCAACTCTGTACAGGGTTTCTGAGGTTTTAAATCTTTATGGGAGCAAAGAACGTCATCTTTCTCTTAGGAGTGGTTGGCGGACTCAAACCACAGACCTTGTGGTTCACAGTCCAGTACTTATCATATGGCGACACGGTACTCCCAAAGCCAAAAGTACCATCAAGTGGTTCCGACTCATATCGACTCTATATAGGGTTTCCGAAGAGCTGGTGACTTTGAGCTGCTGACTTTGCAGTTCAAACTGACTTTGACATTGAGTGCTTATCGTATGGTGCCACACCAGGACTCCAAAGTCAAAGATAGAAGGGAATAAAAATAAATAAGCACCTATCCTGGTGTGATGCTGTGGGTTAATGCTCTGGACTGCAAAGCCGTTTGGACTGCAAGTTTGGCAGTTCAAGCTCACCAGCCGCTTCTTGGAAACCCTATACAGGGTTGCTATAGGTCGGAACTGACTCAATGGCACTTAACAACAACAACAATCCTGTTTCTAGAAACTCATATCTCCAGACCCCCATGTGTGAGGGAGCTTTAAAAAGCTTGTGGAAAAAAAGAATTACAAAATAATTACAATTTTCTATGAACTTTTTGAAGCTCCCCCCCAATATGATTTCCCCTCAAATCTAAGATGCTATCAACCATAAGGTGCATCATTATATGGAAACCTAAGCAAAAAATACTGCCATACCAATTTGTAAGAAGCATCACAGTTCCAGAGAGAATGAAATGTGAAAAAAATGTTCATCTTAGAAATGATTGAAATAAAGAAAGCATATATACTTATGTCTAGAGTAGTGAGATTTGGGGATATCAAGGGAGAGGCTAGAAGACAAAACAGGCAAAGGAAAACAGAACTGATGACCCACACAAGTATCTTAAAGATACTTTAGAGGCATCTTAAAAATTTTAGTAAGTCTTGAGTGTTTTTGGGTAAAATGCACCTACATCCCACATTAAATACAATTTAGACTAAGCACTGGACTGCTAACCACAAGACTGACAATTCAAACCCACCAGCTGTTCCTTGGAAACCCTATGCAGAGTAGCTATGAGTCAGAATGATTCAACTACATATAATTGTTGGGGATGTGGAGGCGCTATAAGATAAGCACTGGACTGCTAACTATAAGGTCAGTGGTTGGAGCCCACTAGCCGCTCCACAGAAGAAAAATGGGGCTTTCAGCTCCCACAAAGATTTACAGTCTCAGAAACCCCATGCAAGGTCACTGAGTCAGAACCGACTCGACAGCACGCCACTACCAGAGAATAAATGGGGCAAGCCAAGATCTTCTTCCTGAATCCTAGACTTTTATTTTCAACTGCTTCCAAAACATTTCAAACTCTATGTCTTGTATGAACCCTAAACATAGCAAATTCTATACAGACCCCCTCCAAATCTGTTTCTTCCTCCTGGAATTCATTCATTAAACAAATATTGCTGTATTTCCACTCAATGCCAGACTGCTCTAAGCCCTCAGAACACACCACTTGATAAAAGACACAGAAATCTCTTCCCTGAGAGAACTCTAATTCTCCTGGAGAAGAAAGTTAAAAAACAGAATGCTGGGGAATAGGGAGGGAAGAGAAAGAAAAGGGAGATCGCAATGCCACGAGAGGAGGAAATTTAAATAGGGTGCTAAGTGTGGGGAGGTGAAAGTTGAGCAAAGACTCCAAGGAGATGAATGAATGAATGAATCCATTCCTAAGTATGACTCAAAATCTAGAACAATACAAGAAAGAAAAAAGATCAATTCAAACACATGAAAATAATAAAAAACAAAAAACTCTGCTACATGCTGTTGTTATTGTTGTGCTATCAAGTTGATCGGACTCGTAGAGACCATATGCACAAGGGAACAAAATACTGCCTGGTCCTGTGTCATCCTCACAATTGTTGTTACACTGGGCCAGTCCATCTCATTGGGGGTCTTCATCTTTTTCTCTGATCCTCCACTTTACCAAGCATGATGTCCTTCCACAGCAACTGGTCCCTTCTGATAACATGTCCCAAGTTTGAGGGACAAAGTCTTGCCATCCTGGCTTCTAAGGAGTTCTTTGGCTGTACTTCTTCCAAAACAAATTTGTTTGTCCTTCTGGCAGCCCATGGTACTTCTAATGTTCTTCTCCACCACCATAACTCAAATACATCAGTTCTATGGCTTTCCTGATTTATTGTCCAACTTCCACAGGCCTATGAAGCTATTGAAAACACCATGACATAGGTTGTGAATGACTATCATCCTGTTTTCCATTAGTAAGACTTCAGCGCTACTCAAGGCCAAGGACATGACGAAAGCTATCTCAGAATCACATATTTGAGGATCTGTTTCTTAAGACCAAACATTGACCAAGTATTGTGTCAGTTACAGTTCAGTCAGGAAAACAGAAAACACACTAGGCATTTCACCAATATGAATTTAATAGAGGAGATGGTTTTTAAGAAGGTGTCAGAAGACTGAAAAAGCAAAAAGAGAACACTAAGTAGCAGAGAGATGGTAACTGCAGGAAAGAAGATATTAGACCTAGAACTGGAGAAATAAAGGAAGGAGGTTTGGGTTATCAGAACCTGCCTTGCTGAGTTGGGACTCAAATTTCTAAGGAGGGGCTGAGGCCTGGCTGCTGCTAATACCTAAGGAGTTTGTAGGAGGGGCCTTTCAGAGCTGGGTATCAGTACCCTGATGGGAAGTGCCACCCAGCTGGTGTAGGTACTTCTGATGGTTAGGAAGAGGCTGATTTGGAAAGCGTCTGTGTTTGCCATGGTGAAAGACCATTGCTGGGAAAATGCTGACAGGAAAATCAAGCAAAGAGGGAGGAGTAAATACTTTCTCCTCTTAGCCTGCTGTCCAGTCTCCTTATAGAACTATTAATCAAAATGAGCAGGCAGCTGAAAAAGGAGAAATATAGTTTGCAGAGTCCTTGTCTCAACATCCCATAGCAGAGAGAGAAGAGTAGAATGAAAGTCAAGAGGCAATCACTTAATCTCTGGTACAGCGCTCTCAATGAATGCTTGTTACATGAATTAGTCAGTAAATGAGTGAATGATGCAGATCATTAGCTAAATTCAGGAGAAAAGAGATTAGCGTATGCAGGAAATAAGACTCTGGGAGAATATATCAAAGACTGCTTAAGATATTGGACTTTTGCATCATATACTAAGAGTACTGGATTAGGTTAAAGTCCTGATCCCACCACTTAGTATGTGAATTTGGACAAATGACTTAACCTTTCTATGCACCAGTATACTCATCTAGTAATAGCACTTACCTAGTAGATGAGGATTAAATAATACATTGTTCTTGTTGTTAGGTACCATCGAGTCGGTACCGACTCATAGTGACCTTAGGCACAGCAGAATGGAACAGTGCCCGATTCTGGGCCAACCTCACTATTGTTGCCATGCTTGAGTTCATCGATGCTGCCACTTGGCCAATCCATCTCATTGGGGGTCTTCCTCTTTTTCTCTGACCCTCCACTTTACCAAACATGATGTTCTTCTCTAGCAACTGGTCCCTCCTGACAATATGTCCAAAGTATGAGAGATGAAGTTTGGCCAATTTGGCCTCCAAGGAGCACTCTGGCTCCATGTGTTTATTATTAGCACAATGTCTGGTATATGCTTGGTTAATGGTTGTTGGTACTGTTGTTAGGTGTCATTGAGTCCGTTTCAACTCATAGCAACCCTATGCAGAACAAAACACCGCCTGGGCCTGCACCAGTCTCACAATTATTATTACACTTGAGCCCATTTCTACTACCACTGTATCAGTCCATGTATTTGGGGATCTTCATCTTTTCATTGACCCTCCACTTTACCAAGCATGATGTCCTTTTATAGGGACTGGTCCCTCCTGATAACATGTCCAAAGTATGAGAATCAGAGTCTTGCCATCCTGGCTTCTAAGGAAGATTCTGGCTGTACTTCTTCCAATACAGATTTATTTGTTCTTCTGGCAGTCCATGGTACTTTTAACATTCTTCTTCAACACTGTAATTGAAATGCATTGATTCTTCTATGATCCTCCTTATTTCATTGTGAACTTTAACATGCATATGAAACTATTGAAAATACTATGGCTTGGATAGTTACTATTTCTTATTAAAAAGGTTTTAAAAGTAGATAAGATTTGGATCCTGTAAGGGCAAGTGAATGAATGTCTTTAGAGTCACATGAAGAAGGAAATTTGGTTGCATAGTCTGAGAAGATAAAACATGGACCAGGAAGTAGAAGTTAAAAGAAAGCAGTTTTGGCTCAGTCTCAGGAATGGAAGGAATGCTTTGGGAAACACAAACTTTCCCTGACACTCTAAAGATTTAAACAAAGAATTGATTCTTGCATCAGAGTTGGTAGAGATTACCATTTAGTTCCCTTCTAAGGCTATGACCAAATGTTTACAGCATTCTAGAATAGACTAAAGAGGACAGTGCCAAAATGGAGAGAAGGATGACTAAGATAAGCTGAGAGAAGAAAATGTTGGAAATAGTAATACCATGTGATTCTGCAATCCCTCTACTTGCTATATATCCCCCAAAACTCAGAGCCATGACGCAAGTAGTATAATAAACACACCCATGTTCATCGCAGCACTATTCACAATAGCAAAAAGATGGAGATAGCCTAAATGCCCATCAGTGGCAGAATGGATAAATGAACTTTGCTACACAAACATAATGGAATACTATGCAATGCTGAAGAATAATGATGAATCTACAAAACACCTCATAGCATGGATGAACCTGAAGGACATTAAGCTGAGTGAAATTAATCAATCAGAAAAGGATCACTATTCAATCAAACTCAAGAAAAGGTTTTCATGCTAAAGGAAACATTCTTTGATGGTTACCAGGGGTAGAAGGCAAGGGAGAATAATTTACTGGCTAGAGGGCAGATAGGTTTTAACTTGGGTGACTGGGAAGGCAATGTACAATAAGAGTGAGGCTGGAGAAGACTGATGAAGGCAAATGAAGATACAGGGAGGAATGCAAGGGTTCAAGGGAATAGAGGTAAATCGTTACATACACAATCTTGCATTCTACATGGACAGATACACAGGCTGAACAAGTATAGGAAGGAGAGTTGGAGTATACCCACCAATATATAAGGGTTTGACAGATGATATCTGTACATGGATATTTACTTTTGCTGCAAATACACCTATGAATGACATGGAGCACACAGAGGACAAAATGAGGGAAACTTCTTAGACTTTACCAAATGTAATGAGTTGCTGGGCCTGAAGTCTCAGTACCATAGATAGTCTCCAGGGAACAGTGGTCAACTGACATGATGTAGTGCACAAATACAATGTCTCTTAGGTGAGCAGCAACTAGCTGGGACGTTAATATCTCATGAGCAGGCATCTAAGGTGCAACTATTAGTCTCTTCATGTGTGGAAGAAAGAAGAGTGATGAAAATTGAAAATATTTGCAATCAATTGAACATGTGAACATCAGTCTCCAGTCTCTGAGACTGGAAGAACTAGTTGGTGCCTGGTTACCACTACCAACTGCTCTGAAAGGTCTTGGATAGAGTGGGAGACAATGTGGAACAAAATTCAAAATCACAAAAACAGAGCAGTCTTATAGGCCAAAAGGAGACAGGAGGAACCCGAGAACATGGCCCTCAGCCACCCTTCAGGTCTGGAACAGAACTCAACCTCGGGGCCCAATTTTCAACCAAGTGGTGGATAGGTATATAGGAGGAACACAACACCAGTGAGGTATGCTCACCATGGAACTGTAAACAATTCAAGATCAAAATGGCAAAATTTACCTGGGGACAAGGTTTAGAGGGGTTAGGAAGGAGGGGGGAAGCAGGATAACTATTATTACATGGCAGGGATTGCAATCACTGAAATGAAACAAAATATGTGATTTGTTGGATATAAAACTGATGATCTGCCCTGTAAGCTTTCACTCAATTCACAATTAAAAGTACCACCCCTCAAAAAAAAGGTGAGAGAAAAACTAAATCTTCATTCAATTCACAATAAAAAGTTTAAGAAAAACATTTTTAAAAAGGAAACAGAGAAAAAGGAGAAAGGAAGAGAAGAAAAAGGAAATATTGAGACAGGAGTGTGGGGAGAAAGAAGGGAGCAGATGTGTAGAGAAAGAGGAGGGAGAAGACAGGATATGAAGAAATCAGAGAGTAAGATGAGTAGGAGAAGGGACTGGAAATCAGTTTTTACCTAAAGTGACGACTCGGAGCCACATTGAGGTAGACAAAGTGGATCTTCTTCAGGTATTTTTCTGTCTGTAGAATGTTTATCACCCGACTACCCAAGAGGGAAGTCTCAGGTACGAAGCTAGTATCTCTCTTTTGGAAGGTTTTCTCCTCAGAAATTTTCTGGTCAAGTTGTGACCTGTATGATAAAGAATCAGAAGGAAGGAGGAGCAGAGCACAAAGGTTTTCAGGAGGTGGGCCTTGCCACTGTTGGCAAGTGAAGGAAGAACTAGATCAGGTGCTTGAGGGAACCTGATACAGCATTTTCAAAGTCTATCACCTATACTCACACATGTTCACATACAAAGCAAATATGGTCCATCATGCATAACAGTCAACTATATTTAGACAGACCTATGCATAAGCAGTTCAAAACTACCAGCTGCTCTGTGGGAGAAAGATGAGGCTTTCTGCTTCTGTAAAGATTTATAGCCTCGGAAACTCTGTACAAGATCGCTATGTGTCGGAACCAACGCCACGGCACATAACAACAAATAATGCATAAATGACCTCTCCCTTTCTGATAAATTAATAATCATTCTGTATTTATTTTGATTACTAGCACTGTGAGGTTAGTGTTACTTAATTCTGCATACAAGAAATGGGAGGACTTTAGTTTCCTAACTCATCTACTTTGCAAATACATGGTTTTGTGTCTCTCCTTTCTGTCAACTTTCCAAGCCTCCAGATTTCAAATACTTGCTCTCCCACCCCGTATGAGTTTCATATCTGGGACTTTTCCTCCATGATCACCCAACCTCTAGTTTCACATCCTTTCCTTTCTAGCCAAGATTCCATAGTGTATCACTTCAGCCTCCTCAAACCTGCAGCAACACTCTCATCTTCTTATCCTTCAACCAAATTAGTCAACAAAATCCCAACCCTAACCAACCCAATCATCCACTTTCTTCTCTCCTGTATGCATGCTGCTGAAGGTAGGAAAAGTATGGCCTTGGTGATAGAAACTACTCTAGAGACTGCATGATAGAATTTTGCAAGACCAATGACTTATTCATTGCAAACACCTTTTGTCAACAACATAAATGGTGACTATTTATGGGGACCTCACTGGATGGAATATACAGGAAACAAACAGACTTACACTGTGAAAAGAGACACTGGAGAAACACATCATCATCAGTCAGAACAAGGCCAGGAGCCAACTAAAGAACAGACCATCAATTGCTCATACACAAGTTCAAGGTGAAGCTGAAGAAAATTAAAACAAGTCCACAAGAGCAAAAATACAACCTTGAGTATATCCTACCTGAATTTAGAGACCATATCAAGAAGAAATTTGATGCATTGTACACTAATGACCTAAGTCCAGAGAGTTGTGGGATGACTTCAAGGATATCATACAAGGGTCATTAAAAAAAGACAGGAAAGAAAGAAAAGGGCCGATGTCAGAAGTGACTCTGAAACTTGAACATAGATTAACTACACTGAATGAAAGAAATGATGAAGCAAAGAACTGAACAAAAGATTTCAAAGGGCAGCTCAAGAAGTCAAAATATTATAATGAAATGTATAAAGACCTGGAATTAGAAAACCCAAAGGGAAGAACATGCTCAGCATTTCTCAAGAGCTGAAGAAAATATTCAACAACTCAATATTGATGGATTCTGTGGGCAAACTATTGAATTATATAAGAAGCATCAAAAGATGGAAGTAATATACAGAGTCACTGTACCAAAAAGAATTGGTCGATGTTCAACCATTTCAGGAGGTAGCTTATAATCAAGATCTGATAGTACTGAAGAAAGAAGTTCAAGCTGAATGGAAAGCACTGGTGAAAAACAAGGCATCATGAATGGATGGAATATCAACTGGGATGTTTCAACAAATGGATGCAGTGCTGGAAGCACTTACTCATCTACGCCATGAAATTTGGAAGATAGCTACCTGGCCAACTGACTGGATATTTGTGCCATTTGAAAAAAGATAATGCAACAGAATGCAAATATTACTAAAAAATATAGTTAATATTTTGCAGACTGTAATTCAAAAACAGTTGCAGCAGTACACTGATGAGAAACTGCCAGAAATTCAAAGTGGATTCAGAAAAGGATGTGGAACAAGGAATATCAGTGCTAAAGTCAGATGTATCTTGGCTAAAAGTAGAAAATACTAGAAAGATGTTCACCTTTGTTTTATTGACTATGAAAAGTCACTTGACTGCATAACAAATTATGAATAGCTTTGTGAGGAATGGGATGCCATACACTTAAGTGTGCTCATCCGGTAACCTTAACATAGACCAACAGCCAGTCATTTGAACAGAACAAAGGAAGACAGCATTTAAAATAAAATATGGAAAGGTGTGTATCACGGCATATTAAATCTGTATATGGGCAAATAATCTGAGAAGTGAGACTATTGAAGAAGAATGTAACATCAGGGTTGGAGGAAGTCGAATTAACAACCTATTATATGCAGATGATACAATCTTGCTTTGCTGAAAAAAAGAGGATTTTTTTTCTGATGAAAATCAAAGACTACAACCTTCTGAAGGGATTGCAACTCAATGTAAAGAAAACAAACATCCTCACAATTGGACCAATAAACAACATCATGATAAACAGAGAAAAAATAATGAAATTGTCAAGAATTTCATTTTACTGGGATCCATAATCAACACCCATAGAAGGAACAGTCAAGAAATCAAACTACAGTATATTGCACTGGGCAAAGCTACTGCAAAAAAAACTTCTTTAAAGTGTAAAAAAGCAAAGATATCACTTTGAGGACTAAGGTGAGTCTAACTGAAGCTATTTTACTCATGTAAAAGCTGGACAATGATTAAGAACAAAGAAGAATTGATCGATTTAAATTATGGTGTTGGTGAAGAATATTGACTATGCCGTGGACTGCCAGAAGATGAATACATCTGTCCTGGAAGAAGTACAGTCAAATGCTCCTTAAAAGCAAAAATGCTAAGATTTCGTCTAAGGCTCTTTGGACATGTCATCAGGAGGGACCAGTCCCTGGAAAAGAGCATCATGCTTGGCAAAGTAGAAGGTCAGTGAAACAGAGAAACACCCTGGATGAGCTGAATGGACACAGTGGCTGCCACAGTGGGCTCAAACACAGCAATGATTGTGAGGGTCGCACAGGACTGAGCAGTGTTTTTTCCTGTTGTACACAGAGTCACTGAGTCATAATCAACACAAGGGCACCTAACAACAATAACAGGGCTCTAAGGCATAAAGAAAAAATTGATTCAGCCATAAATTTATAGCAAAAACTGAAGAAATAAAACTTGATTAGGCAACACTAGCCTGCTTCCCCAGATAATGAATGTATCACAGGTAAGCAGCAAAGAACCTAGAAAATTCGGCCAGAGAATGGGGAAAATTCCAAGACGAGAGGTAGAGAACCCTCAGAAGAAATCCAGCAGAGAGCTTTAGGAGCCAGACAGGGAGACATTTGACATACAAGTGGCCAGGAGGCTGAGCTAGTGGTCACATTAGATCTGGAAGGGTCAGGATGAAAGTCCCATTCAGTAGTGCTGCCAACTAAACTCTCTCTTGGTGTTGGCTAAGATCACGTAAGCACGTGTGGGAAGTCTCCTTAGGTAAAGTACTCACCCAGGAGCTATTCAAAGGGTGTGTTTATCCAACACCTAGCATTTAGTACAGGTAATCCCGGAGGCAAGGCTCAGGGATTACCAACATGTGAGACAAAGAACAAAGAAGGCTTCCACCACCATCTGAGAAAAGTCTAGAAACTCAGGCTGGCTCTTGATTTTCATTAATTTCTGCATTTCCTTGTGGGACGTGGCATTAAGACCACTGGGTTTATTTTGCAGACAAAATAGAAAAGAGGGGCAATGTCAGAGCAGTAGGGAGGTGGCGTCTGCTAACCACCACAGGCTGTGTCCCTTATTTACCTAGTCTCTCTTCCAACAGGTTCTTCCTCTGCGTTGTCAGCGGTTCTGCTTTCCAACTGTACAGGGATGTCTGCTGCCAGTGCCAAGGGGAGGAGGCTAAGGCCATGCAGCCAATGAGTCTCTTCTAGGGCCACCTCAGCACCAACAATGCCTAGGCAGTGCTGTAATTCCGGCAGTGTTAGTGGTCGCAACCATGTAGCCAAATCCTTCTCTACTTGCTTCTCATCCCTCTGGGCCTGTACAATAGGGCAGGTAGGGTATCCGGGCTGCCCATGTTGAAACCTCTGTTTTTGCGGATGGCAGTCAGTATGGGAGGCACCCGCTAACAAAGAGGTGTCTCGGGGAAAGGCCTGGTCTATGGCATCCAGCAGGTCCAGCTGGAGCTGGGACTGGACCCAAGGTGCCCAGCGGTACAGCTGCTCCAGAAAAGGCAGCAAATCAAGGTAGTCACATAGCAGTGTACGATATGGAGGCAACAGACCCAGTACTGCATGTAGGTAACGCCAGGCTGCAGGGCTGCAGTCCTGTAGCACCGCTGAGAATAGCATGCGGAGCTCAGCTAGCAAGGGCTCCAACACTGTGGTCTGCTGGATCTCAGTCATTTTCTTCAGGAACGTCTTCTGTTTCCTCTCAGACGCCCAAGGCAGCTCTTCTTTCTCTTGGACCAATACAGAGTTCCAAGATTCAAGGGCATCTGATGAAGCTTCATCAGGAGATGAGGCCACCTTCTTTTCCTCATCAATGACCAAGAGGAGTTGAGCATTCAACTGCAGCCGCGCTGACCTTGCCCACTGTTCAGGATTCGACTGCCAGTTCCAGGTTCTGGACTGCTGGACCTCACCTGCTTGGCCCAGCCCAGGAAAGACAGAAGGGTCCTTAGGCTCTAGGTTTTTGTTGTTGTTAAGTGCTGTTCAGTCAGTTCCGACTCATAGGAACCCTGTACAGTGTTTCCAAGGAGTGACTGGTGGGTTTGAACTGCCAACCTTGCGGTTAGCAGTCCAGCGCTTATCCTACAGTGCCACACCAGGTTCTGAGAGGTGGGAGATAGTCAAAGTCAATGGGATGAGGCTGGGGGAAGGGAAGGAAGGGAAAGGACCTAGGTTTTGAGAATGGGTGGAGCTGCAAGGCAGAGCCAGGCAAGAAAGGTCTTTCCTGAGACTCTTAAACCCAACTCACTAGCTTTTCCCCAGGACTCTGTGAGAAGTCTGCCCCCCACCCCCAGATGTAGTCCCTGCATGAATAGGGGTTCCTTCCCACATCCCAAATCTTGTCCCCCTCACCTGGCCGAACAGGTACAGGAGGCAAGGGAAGGACAGAGCGCAAGATCTGCTGATGCGGTTTCATGGGGATTGGCCTGTTGGAGAAACACAACACAGACATAGGCGCCACTCACAAGCGCACCCTAGGCTCAACCATCCAGGGCGACTGGCGCACACACGTGTGATCACATGAAAAGACAAACTGACTCACTGGCAGGGTTCAACCAGAGAACCTACGCTCCCAGTGGAGCCTGGCAATCTCACCTGAAGGGGAAGAACAAGTCATCACTTAGAGGCAGCAAAACCCCAGTCCCACACAGTCCATCCGCCCACAGCCCGCAAGTCGTGAGGTCAGGAAGCAGAGAAACTCACACAGCGAACCACTCTGTCGGTATGTGGGCGGAGGAAGAGGAAGACCAGGCAGGTGTGGAGGACAAAGGGATTAGGGGGAGGAAGGAAACAGGAGGAGGCGGACACCAGGAAAACCGTGGTGGGATAGCTTACTAGAGACAGGAAAGGAGGCGAACTTCACTAGGGGACAGGTCAAGAACGAAAGCGGGCCCTGGAGGCCAAGGAAAGCGAATCCCGAGATTAGGACTCAACCGCAGCCCATCCGCTCCCAGCAGTTAGAACGGTTACTAGAGCTCTGGAGGCTCGAGTAGTCTACGGGAGTACCACGGGAGCCAGGAAGGGGAGTGGCCAGGACTGGATGTGGGGGTATGGGGGAGCCTAGGGCAGGGTCCAAGATGGGAGGGGCGGGATCCAGGCTAAATTGTTGGCTACCTGCGTTCCCGGGACAGGGGCATTGGCAGAGAAGGAATCTGGCTGTACCTGAAAAACAGTAACACGGTTGAATTTGGGGAATAGCAATCTTAAAATCGTCGTGGGCAGGAGTAATCCCTGTGCTCGGTCAATGCCTAAACTACTATCCAGTTCATTCTGACTAATAGCGATTCCTAAGACGAAGTGGAACTACCCAGGGTTTTCAAGACTTCTGTAATCTTTACAGAAGCAGATCTCCTGAGGAACAGTTGGTGGATTTTTGAGTTAGCAGCTTAGTGCTTTAATCATTGTGCTACCAGAGCTCCTAAACTACCACCAGGTACCACCAAACTGTGCGTTTATAGACCCTCTCCCATACACAAACCTTAATAAAAGGTGACATCTCAGCAGTCACGAAGAAAGGAAAGCCTTCCCCCTTTTTTTGCTTAGCTCCTTGGAGGCCAGGGTGGCCAAACTTCGTCTCTCATACTTCAGACAGATTGTCAGGAGGGACCAGTCGCTGGAGAAGGATATCATGTTTGGTAAGGTGGAGGGTCAGAGAAAAAGAGGAAGACCCCCAGTGAGATGGATTGGCAGCATCAATGGACTCAAGCATGGCAACAATGTGAGGTTGGCTCAGGATCCGGCAGCGTTTTGTTCTGCTGTGTATAATGTCACTAAGAGTTGGTGCCGACCTAACAACCACAACAATTTTAATTCATTCAGCTTTAAACTCACTTCCTCTGGGAGGCTCTCCTTCATTCCACAGACAACTTAAGTTTGTGTTATTATGTGTTCCCATTACATTTGTCTTCACTATTCAGTTGAACTCCTGGTGTGGTGCTATTGGATAAGCACTGGACTTCAAACCAAAAGGTCGGGGACTGAAACCCACCAGCTGCTCCTTGGAAACCCTGCACAGGGTCACTATGAGTCAGAATCTACTTGACAGCACTTAACAATATTTATTATATACAGGTTTTGGCATATCTACCTTAACTTCCAAGAGAACAAGGATCTCATTTGTCTCATTTGCCTCTGTATCTGCAAGGCTTAACATAGTGTTGATAAAAGCAGTCACTCAACTATCTGTGAAATGCATGAATATATGGATGGATGTGAGACATAAATAGAGAAGAAGAAATTGTCCAGAGTCAGCATGATATGCCCAAGCACTACAAATAAATTGATCCGTCTATAACCAACCATGATAATAAAAAACTGAGGAAAGGGAGTTGAAGATGAAGCCAGAGAGGTCAGCTGGTACCTAACAAGAGAAACACTGATTAGTCATGCTTAAGGAGGCTGCCAGGGAAAGCATTATGTACATGAGTACTGCGGTTAAATTTATACTTTACAAGAATCACTTTTGGCTAGTATGAAAGGAAAATGGATTGGTGATTACCTCCCAATAGTCATTCTCCTCTTCTTCCTTCATCAGAGAAACTGATTTTTAGCTGTGCAAACGGCTGGTAAGAATAAAGATTACCTTTCCCAGCCTCCTATGTATCAAGACATGGCCACATGACAAATTTCCGATGTGCGACTTTCAGGATGTGTTTATAGAGGGAAGAGGGTGTGTCCCTTTTCTCCACTGCTCTCTTCCCCATTCTGCCCCTTGGAATCTGGGTATAATGTGTAATGCTCTATCTTAGAGCAAAAGGATGAAGGTATCATGGACACAATCAGAAAACTGGTTGTATCCTGAATCTCAGACAACTGTGAAGTCACCATAAAGACAAAACCAAATCAAACCAAGACAAAAAAAATCCAAACCTTCTGCTATAATGTCAATTCTGACTCACAGCGACTCTATAGGACAGAGCGAGCCTGAAATTTACCATGTGACCTTTTGCCGATGATGTAAACATGTTTTTCATCCAAAATCTCACTGAGTGATGTCTTCTACCCATCCTAGTCTCAGATCAATCAGTCCTATCTATAGCAAATCATTCTATGAAAAAACAAAATAGACTCGTTGCTGTCAATTCAATCCAAATCACAGAGTAGAACTGTTCCATAGAATCCAAAGCTATAATCTTTATGGGGACTTCTGGTAGAATCAGCACTGGACTGCAAATCACAAGGTCGGCAGTTCAAACCCATCAGCTGCTTCTTGGAAACCCTATACAGGGTCGCTATGAGTCAGAATCGACTCAATGGCACGTAATAGCAGCAATCTTTATGGAAGCAAACTGCCACATCTTTCTCTCTTGGAGTGGCTGGTGAGTTTGAACCGCCAATCTTTTTTTCTTTCACTTTTCTTTGCATTTTATTTTAATCATACATTTTTGTTTCTTCAGCTTCTTCTGGGATATCTTTTTCTCTGGTGCAACTGCCTTTTCTGTTTTAGGAACAATTTATTCCTTTTCAGTAAGGATCATCTCAGAGTGGCAGGGGAAAATCATGTAGGGGCTGATCTGACCATAAGTTCTGTATGTGCAATGGAAAATCTTGGGGGCTTTGTTCACTTGAATGTATTAAATGCCCAGAGAATTCACATTTAAACCCTTACGTTCAACACTATTCTCTGCATTTTTAAACATGTGCAACAAACATTCAGTACTCTTTTTAGACAACCAACTCTGTGTCCAACCCTACTGTTTAGCCTGGGCACACCTAACAATTCCACCATTGTAACATCAGAATGGTATACATTGCTTCTGCAAAGTGGCATCTGTCTGATTCCTGGTAACTTTTGGATATGCAATTCCTTGATAGTCTGAGCAGTTTCATGGATGTTCTTAAAATGGACCTGAAAATTTGAGTCTCTTGATTTGCATGATTTTATGGGGTTTTCTAGGTCAAGTGAGTAGCAAATTATTTACTGAGATCACCTCAGGCCACTTATGGGAAGAACGAATCACCAATCTTTTGGTTAGCAGCTTAACCATGTCACCGCCAGGGCCCTTCCCTGCTCCTCCATCTTAATCTCCACTACCTTAACTGCATTTTCATCCACTTCTATTGAGGTCATAGCAACAGCCTCCTATCTGAGCTTCTTAAGTCTGAAGCCCTCTTGCTTGACTAGTTAGGACTTAGCTCAGATGCATGTTAACTGAGACTCAAAATAACAGTGACTTACTTTTTTTTCTTTCAAATAAAAGTCTAGTTTGGAATTGGTATGGTGATGACCTGATGGCACAATAGTTAAAGCACTTGGTTAATAATCATGATTACAGTCTTAGAAATCCCATGAGCCATTCTACTCTGTTATGTAGTGTCACTAGTCAGAGTGAATCAATAGCAACAGCAAAATTTTGGACATAAAGCATGTCTAAATCATTGGCAAAAGATCAAAGGTTACATTTGCAAGCTCACTTCTGTTTCTTCTGATACAAAGTCTCTGGTTATGTTAACAGTAGATTGGGCTGGAAAAGACTAAAAGATATTTATTAAGTAAATATTTATCAAGCACATTTTATGTGCCAGCGACTGTGATATGGATATGATGGTGAGCAACATAGACATGGACTCTGCCCTCATGAGATATACAATTACAAACTGTTAGATGTGTGACATACCCAAAGTACAAGGAATTCTCAGAACTGGAGTCTAAGAGGAGATCTTGAAGAAATAGAATTTGAACCAAGATCTGAAGATTGAGATGGAGGTAATTAGGTAAAGTAAGAGGGAAAGGATGGAACAACAGTTGTAGAGATATTGAGAGGAATAGTGGATGATTGGTTAGCAGAACTGAAAGGCCAGTGTGGTTGAAG